TTGTCTTTGATCCACGCCGCGTCAGGGTTGATGCCGGAGAACGCGCGGAACTGCTCCATCGTGCGCTTCGTCCCGATCGTAAACTTGTCCAGGTCTGTCTTGTCGTAGTCATCCGATGACGGCACCAGCCCCAACGCCGCTCGAATACGCCGTTGCGACCGCTTCGCAATCACAGATCGCGCCGCCCAATCTTCGTCCCACATCCCCTTTCGCTTCTCGTACCAGTGGTAGCACAACATGTGCGTCGGGATGTACGTATCGTATCCAAACGTGAACAAACGCGCCACGCGAGAGTACTCTTCGCCGTGAAACAAATAGACGGCGTGAGGATCGTTGCGAACTTCAACCGCCGACTCCGCCGACCCAAAGTTGAACCCGCCGGCGAACTGGGACATCAACACCGGTTCCGCAGGGGACGGCAGTCGAATGGCGGAGCTATACTGCACCATCGAGTCCGGCTGGTTGTTTTCGATGCGCGCGTGACACATTAGGATAACACCCGTTGGCTTTTCGCCCGCAGGCGGCATGTTCTCCGTGGCGTCCGGGTACACCGTGATGAGAGCCTTGGGGTTGCCAATGCGATCCCACTGGCCCACCAAGTCCGTGTCCCAGTGGGGAATGAAGATCAAGTGCGAGTCGATCGCCATGGCGAACGTATCGATGGACAAATCCACGCCTTCTTCCGTCTGGTACCGGCCGTAAGTCGGTCCCTTGGCCTCTTTGTAGCTGACAGTATCGTTGCGGCGAAGACGCTCAGTGCGCTTGCAGTTCGCCTCACCGACCAGGTCACAGTACGCATCAAAACACCTCTTCTCGCCTTCGTCAAAGTTGAGCTGGTCGAAAATGCTCACTGCAATGAGTTCGGGGCGGTCAGCTCTGGAGAAGATCGAGTCCAGCGTTTCACTGCATCGCTTTGTGTCGCGGTAGTTGGCAATCAGAACGATGATGCGACGGTTTACAGGGTCCCGCGTGCGGGCAACAGTCGGTGCAGGGAGCGTCAACACAGGTTCTTCCACGGGGCTCCCCACGTAGGGCACGTACTTGACCTCCTTCGGGGGACACACGTC